TGTTCAGTAGATCCTGACACCACTAATGGCCATAACTCTTCACAGAAAATTTCGGCGTCTTAACTATACTCTGTGACACCCCTAAACTTATAATCGGGTGATAACGCCGATGACCATTCATTTGACAGTAATGCCTCTACAGGTTTATTGGCCGTTGAGTTCCCAGTCATGGCTTAAAACAGAGACACAGTTCTAATGGTTAACATAACAAGTGTGTTTCCAGGCAACGTAGATAAAATGCTATTTTGAATGCCCGTACAGCAACAATTACAAGGCAATTAAGCCCACCTGTGACAAGGAGCCTGCGTGGTACGTGGTCGCCATCTTGGAACCAATAGCTGGAGCAATAACCAAATGTCTACTTATAAAGTATATCGGTGTATGTGTGAATCCCGAAAATATGAGTCCAAGATTTCACTGTTCAAGGTTAATATGAGTGAGTGAGTGATTGAGTGCGGTTTTGAGCCGCAATATTCCAGCAATATCATGGCGGGGGTTCCCTGGAATGGGCTTCACACATTGTACCCATGTGGGGGAATGGAACCCGGGTGTTCGGCGTGACGAGTGAACGCTTTAACAACTAGGCCACCCCACCGCCGCTAAAATGACCCAGATATAGACACGACAATCATGAACGTATCGTCAACACTTGTTACGTTGTTAGATCGATCAACAGTAGTGTCAAATCTAGGGGGGAATCATCGACAATACATCGAGTTATCAGTGGTTCGAAACAAGCGGAGTGACCATGGTGACTCAGTAGAGCAGGTGCGGTGGGGTGGCCTAGTGGTTAAAGCGTTGGCGCGTCACGCCGAAGACTCGAGTTCGATTCCCCACATGGGCACAATATGCGAAGCCCATTTCTTGTGTCTCCCGCAGTGATATTGCTGGTATATTGCTAAAAGCGGCGTAAAACCATATTCACTCACTCACTCATAAAAAAGCAACCTCGTTTTTGAAAGAACAATAAATACTGATTTGTGTTCATCTGATGCAAAGAATTTATTCAAGACATTCTCAGTTACAAATATTCATTAACCATTTGAAACACTGTAGAATTGACATTTGTACAACATCCTTGAAATAATTTATCAAACAACATATTTCCACAATCATACCAAGAAATACGAAAACACTCGATGAGGGCCATGCTGTCCTACTTACCAGCCCCCATCGAGGATTTCATAACATGTTGGTTATGTTGTGTACCATGAAATCTTTCTTTATTCTGAACTGTGTATGACGGTGGTATGAAGGTTCATGTTTTGCTGGGGCGGTAGGGTAGCCTAGTGGTTAAAGCGTTGGCTCGTCACGCCGAGGACCCGGGTTCGATTCCCCACATGGGCACAATGTGTTAAGCCCATTTCTGGTGTCCCCCGCCGTGATATTGCTGGAATATTGCTAAAAGCGGCGTAAAACTCAACTCAGTCAGTCAGTCATGTTTTGCTAAACATTTGTGGTATAATCATGTCATGCAACTTGTCCATATTTGCTTTATAAGCGTCTCCGAGTTCATCCAGACAGACCGGTCCAGATGAAACTCCAGACATCTGTACCACATAAGGTCAGTAGATTTCCATTAATACCTGTATTGAGATGCCGCAGCGCAAAGAGATACGAGAACCAGTTTTGATGGCGTGTTTTTGAAGACTATGGGTTTTCATCATACGGTCATTGAAAACAGAACAGGTAGAAGGCAAGACCTGCGGTATTCGTTCGTTTTGTTAAATATTAGTCGCAACAAATGTCAACTTCAAAATTGACCGTATCATGAAGCCTGAAGAGCTGGAGGACCCTTACCACTTAATTCAATCGACACACATAAAGCTGTAGGTTTCCATGACAACAATCTACGCATCACGAGTGTCCAATTTGTCAATAATTATACAGCATTTGTGTGGGAGCAGGTCGTCATTACTTTGTGGGTGGAATATACTCCTTGTGTAGATATTCCGACTGAATCTAAACCCGGAGCAATTAATTCCAGTTCAAAGACCACGTACAAACGTAGGATATGTGTTACTAGAAATACAGTAGAAACATCGGTAGTGATACTGTTGATGTTGTAATGGAAAAAACCCACCCGAGCCGTTGATTCCGGAAGTAGAATCAACAAGCCGGATGTGCTCCTGGGGTCGACTTCCGGAATCAACAGTTTGGAGTGATTTCCAAAACTTGAATCATATTGGGGTTACTACGTAATTTTTCTGTAATTTTGCATAATGACGTATGCCTTCAGTATGTTTGTTCATTTGTGCATTGAATTTATGACAGGGGCATGCATGCATACATGAGAAGCATGCATACATGTTGTCATGGTGACGTTCTTTATAAAGGACAATGATTGATGAAGGCCCTTTTTGGTCAGACAAGAAAGTAACTGTTAAAAAATTAACCTTCATTTTCACACTTACACGTGTAGGGCGTATGATGCGATGAGGGTACAGAAAAATAGTAGCAAAAATGGAATATATTTAGATACATCCATGTCTGTGGCCCAACACGAATATATACTTGGGTCAAAGACATGCTCATGTCCAAAATTTCGACAAAGAGCCTTTTTGACACATCTTAGCGTACATGTCCATTTGGGTCATTCAAGAAACATTCAAATGTTTAAACAACTGGCAATGTTCAGACCTATATTCATAATGCCACGTTCCTATTAACATGGATGATTCCACATAGGTATATCCATGTGTTTGTACACTGTCCAATTAATACGACATCACCCTCGACAGGTATCAGCCTGTGGGGCTAAATTACATATACATGTACAACTTATAACATGTAGAACGTTTAACCTAAGAATATACGGCTTCTTGAATGAATGAGCGATTGTAAATTTGACAAATATTGCGAATTGTAATTGTGTTCGAAGGTGATTATTTATGAACTATATTATTCGATATTGTGCGATCGGTTTGATGTCAAACTGGCACAACAATACCTATTCAATGCATAATCGTAGAAAGTATAGGCGTATCGTGGTATCGAGTCGACTATTTCATAAGCATGTGTTTATAACTCACTATCAAATGGTGATGGTAAACGAAAAGGGAAGCGCTTCCTGCCACGCCTGTGGCACCCAGCACAAACACATGCAAAGCCAATTCTGGTATCTCATATTTATCAGCTATTAATATATTTTTATGACATGCAAAATCATGATGTTCGTATTCACTAATACCCTTCAAAAGCATTTCATGTTTGTACTCAAATGATATGTGAAGCCCATTTTTGGTGTCCCCCGCCGTGATATAGCTGGAATATTGTTACAAGCGGCGTAAAACTGAACCCACTCACTCAAATGATAAAAATATCGTATAATTGTTTTTAATATCCCCCCTGTCGCCTATGTAACGTAAGAAATAAGTATTAATAAGACAACCTGAAAACATCGGAAATTAACTCGTTGACGTACCATTCCATGACCGCCTACTTCCTCTGTTTGAATGTCACCGATTCACCTTTCCTTCTTGTTACCGATGTAACCCTTTCTCTTTCTGGCATAGCTATTGATTCTATTGTCACAATATTGATCTATAATTGTTATTGTGAACCCAACTATAGTAATGTTAATCACTGCCGATAAAGGGAATGGGTTTGATGAAGACTGCAAATTGACGTCTAATCAATTAACTGGTTTCTCTAATACGATGGTATTTCCTAATTTGTGGGAGTGGAATAGCATTTCATGAAACACGTGGCTAGAAATGTATAACAAGGTTGGTTTCCTGTTACCTGACATGTTAATCAGGTTGTTCATGACTGTTTCTGACAAAACTTTACCATTACACAACTGGCCCCGATTTCTCGAAACAAACTTAAGTTTTAACTCAAATTTCAAACTGAGTTTGACAATTTGAAACTGCTGAATTTTTAACTCAACTGCATTTTTAAAATAAAAAAGCCCAAACAACTTAAGTAATCCATCCACCAAACTCAAATTGTCTAGTATGTTTGAGTTTAATATCAGTTTCAGTTCATTCTGCTAAATGCATTTTCTCTATTTGAGTAAAAACTCGAACTTAAGTCAAAACTCAGACTTAAGTTTGTTTCGAGAAATCGGGGCCTGGTCTTCAATAAACAAGCACTTACTTTTTAATTATGTGAATAGCTACTGGTAGGGCGGGACCGGCCATGCTATCCCTCGTGCAAACACCTCGTGTCATCACTTATTCCTTATTACTTTCATTACTAATGGAGACCTAGTTGTCGATTGGCGTCGATGTTTGAACTCCATTGTTTGAGCTAAACCAGAGCTGTGTCTAACGGTCATGCGTGGATACATTGTGTATATTTGCTTGGATGTTCCGTGACACGATTAGTTTTACGCCGCACTCAGTGAGTGGGTTTAGTTTTACGCCGCACTCAGCAATATTCCACCTATATGGCGGCGAGTATATAAACGAGTCTGGACAAAGCAATCCAGTGATCACCAGCATAAGCATCGATCTATGCAATTGGGATACGATGACATGTGTAAAACTAGCCAGCGAGCCTGACCACCCAATCCTGTTAGTTGCTTCTTAGGACAAGCAAGGGTTACTGAAGATCAATTCTAATCCGGATCTTCACGGGTTTGATTCTGTAAATAAGTGTGATAGTTCATATTTTATAGTATCCACTATTCCTAAAATTGATGCTTGGCGTTTTTCAAAGAGTAGACATAAATATACATTGGTAGTTTTTTCAAAAGCGATTTACATATATCCCCATTCCCTGTGTTTACCGCAGTCAGTAGCCAAAGTACGTTATGTGATTTAACAAACGTCGGTAGAGTAATCCAGTGGGTCAAGCGTTCAACTACGAAAGAGGACATTGCACCGTTTCTGCTTCGTGGAAAAGAATATATTGGCTAATAACATACATATAGGGGAATGATTTATGTCCAGTATCTAAACGATCTATTAGAACAAGTTTAGCTGACCAAGGGCTACCCTGACAAATGCATTGTCCTGTCCATGGCTTGAATATTGACCACTCGTTAAGCCATGTAATAAAAATATTTTAGTTATCATTATGGAATAATGTGTTATTAATGAAACCAATGGACATGAACACAACTATAAAGAAAAACTATATGTTTTGATGACATTTTATGTTGTTGATACAACTCCGAGTGTTCTGGCGTACATATAGACAGTAGATAGGCTAGATGCTACACACTCCGATATATTAAATTGTGCATATTGGTGTATCAAAAACTGACGCACCATTGTCGACATATTTGGTTGCATATAGAAATAATGCGAAAAATACATATTTTACATATACAATACCTATTGTGTACTTGAAGCCTTGTATTGGAATATATAGAATATATCACAGTAAAATGTGTTGCGACAAACATATCCTTTAGCATTGATCAGCATATATACATATATTGAATATTCCACAAATATATTTGTACAGTATGAAGCCATTGTTAGTTCAAGTGTAAAGGATGTTGTCGCAATTTTATATTCCGCTTTTCGGCAACGCTTTTGGTAAATGTCACATTCACAACCGTAGAACAAAGGTTATAGGTCAGATCCGGAATAGGTTATCAGTTATATCCTCCATTCTCTTGAAGAGTCCTGCTGCCTGCTATTCTCAATGCGCATGCGTATAGCTTCCTTGAGATGCTCGATCTGGCTTTTGATTGGCGCAGACTGACTTTCTTTCTTCTTCCGCTTTGTAATCTTCCGCATGTAGTCCCTCAAGCCAAGAGCAAGCTCCCTGGTAAGAAGAAGGTCATGTGTTCATAAATCTATCTGGTAATCCCATCTGTCGAGTGTGTAAATATTTACTTTCACATCGGTAACAAGTTCATTCTAGTGCAGACAAGCTGATATTGCATATTTTGTTCATTTCGTAGAGGAATTGCCGTAACATATTTATATGATTTGTATACAGAATGAATAGTGAGCGAGTGAGTGAGTGGGTGAGTTTTGCATCTTTTTAAACAGTATTTCGCCTACATCACGGTGTCGCAACTTAATGTGAGGAGCAAGCTTAAGGCAATGCTGGTACTTGACCATTACTACCTGACAACGGCAGAACACAGAGCAAAAAGGGATTCGAACACAAAACTTGCTTGGACAGCCAAGTGACCCTTTTATTCGTGTGTTTACTTTAAACGGTACCTTCCGGATGAATAGGGAATAGAACTTTTTCAGTGTATTTGATATTAATGCAGCAGCCTTTGAGATGTCCCCTATAAACGATACATACTCGTAGTCGACGAAGCCGTCGGTGTTCCTGTCCAGCTTCTCCATCATGATGTCCATGGAGCGGGAGCTGAGGGGGATGCCGTCGTTCTGGCAAAACAACGCATGATATTTGATCTATTGTGTAAACATGGTCTTTGTTGTGAAGAGGGGAAAATACAATAATATTTTTAAGATGATGAATCTTAACCATTAATTATCTGGTTTCTATTTTACCCAAAAGGAAAAACAGAAACAGCCAAAGCCATTCATAGTTAAATTACTTTTTTAAGTGAATGAAATTGGAGTGATGTGGTGGAATTCGGCGCCGATGGTATTTGAATCAATTTGAAATCTATATGGGTTAAAGGGTGATAACTCTCACCAGTAGTCCGTTTCTCAGTTCCTCTCTATCCAGTGTGTAGCTCTTGTCCTTATCAAGACTATGCAGCAAGTCTATGAGACGGAGGTTCTTTCTGCGCATGTAGTCGAAGAGGATGCTGGACGGATCATCAGTGTCAAGGACGACGGCTTTGCCATTGCGCTTGAAGTCCTCGTGACGCATGGCTACGCCATATTTGACCCGGAGTGGCCGCTTGGTCTGGACTTCATCCAGGAGATCGGTGAAGTCTTCTCCTACAGCAACCTCCTGAAACACGAGTGAGTGAGTGAGTGAGCGAGTGAGTGAGTGATTGAGTGATTGAGCGAGTGAGTGGGTGGACGCATGAGGATTTGCGCCGCTCTTAGCATTTTTCAGGAATTCCATGGAAGGGGGCATAAATAATGGGTAATGCACTCATTTGAAGCTTTCCGATGTTTGCGTGGAAGTGTATGTGGTATTATATGGGCCACTATAGCGGGCAAATTCTCGTCAATACTTCATGGCTAGTCCACACTGTGTTCATCAATACACCGGTCTGATGGTGTGATGGTGATGTGTGACTAAGTTTAATTAGCTATTGAAATGAGGCCGTGTATAACCCACGGACGTCCACTGAGCCCAGCGGGCGGTGAGGTAGCCTTGCGGTTAAAGGGTTTCCCGAAAACCCGGGTTCGAATCCCCACATGGAGACAATGTGTGGAGCCCAGTTCTGTGTTATGAAGTGTGCACACATACTGTTTTGATATTAGACTTACGGAAAGGTCAAGGTCAATGAGGGCTGTGGCGTCATCTTCAGATATTGCTTTGAGAATACTCATAGCGCCCTCTGTTGTCAACGGGTTGATTCCAATCTGGAGAAAATACAACCTTTCCATAAGTATCCTCATGACGGAATTACAAGTGTTAGCTGTAACAAACATTTAATATATATTGTGAAATATTTAAAAACAAGGAATCTGATCCCGTTATGGTAAGCCTGTTTAAAATTTTATAAACGACGTCCATTCGCAAACCAATCCCTGATCATTGCTATCCGAGCGAACGTCCCTTGAATAGTGAGACGTCAGTTCTTGACGCTCTCACGTGTCAAGATCGCTGGTCTTCATTCACCTACTCTCTTCCGCCAGCGTTACAACACAATACATCTTACATAAGACTCCTATCTAGTTCAGTATCCGTAGTCTAGACTGACAGTATCCGTAGTCTAGACAGTATCAGTAGTCTAGACAGTATTTGTAGTCTAAACAGTATACGTAGTCTAGACAGGATCCATAGTCTAGACAGTATCCAGACAGTATCCATAGTCTAGACAGTATCCGTAGTCTAGACTGACAGTATCCGTAATCTAGACAGTATCCGTATTCTAGATAGTATCTGTAGTCTAGACTGACAGTATCCGTAGTCTAGACAGTATCCATAGTCTTAAGACGTACCTTAAGAACTTCAAGAGAGCTGCACAGACCAGTAAGACGTACCTTAAGAACTTCAAGAGAGCTGCACAAACCAGTACGACGTACCTTAAGAACTTCAAGAGAGCTGCACAGACCAGTAAGACGTACCTTAAGAACTTCAAGAGAGCTGCACGTACCTTAAGAACTTGCACACCACCAGTAAGACGTACCTTAAGAACTTCAAGAGAGCTGCACACCACCCGACGTACCTTAAGAACAAGAGAGCTGCACACACCAAGAACTTAAGAACTTCAAGAGAGCTGCACAGACCAGTACGACGTACCTTAAGAACTTCAAGAGAGCTGCACACCTTAAGAACTTCAAGAGAGTGCACAGACGTAAGACCTTAAGAACTTCAAGAGAGCTGCACACACCAGTAAGACGTACCTTAAGAACTTCAAGAGAGCTGCACACACCAGTACGACGTACCTTAAGAACTTCAAGAGAGCTGCACACACCAGTACGACGTACCTTAAGAACTTCAAGAGAGCTGTACGACACACCAAGAGACGTACCTTAAGAACTTCAAGAGAAGCACACACCAGTGACGTACCTTAAGAACTTCAAGAGAGCTGCACACACCAGTAAGACGTACCTTAAGAACTTCAAGAGAGCTGCACACACCAGTACGACGTACCTTAAGAACTTCAAGAGAGCTGCACACACCAGTAAGACGTACCTTAAGAACTTCAAGAGAGAGCTGCACACACCAGTAAGACGTACCTTAAGAACTTCAAGAGAGCTGCACACACCAGTAAGACGTACCTTAAGAACTTCAAGAGAGCTGCACACACCAGTACGACGTACCTTAAGAACTTCAAGAGAGCTGCACACACCAGTACGACGTACCTTAAGAACTTCAAGAGAGCTGCACACACCAGTAAGACGTACCTTAAGAACTTCAAGAGAGCTGCACACACCAGTAAGACGTACCTTAAGAACTTCAAGAGAGCTGCACACACCAGTAAGACGTACCTTAAGAACTTCAAGAGAGCTGCACAGACCAGTAAGACGTACCTTAAGAACTTCAAGAGAGCTGCACACACCAGTAAGACGTACCTTAAGAACTTCAAGAGAGCTGCACAGACCAGTAAGACGTACCTTAAGAACTTCAAGAGAGCTGCACAGACCAGTAAGACGTACCTTAAGAACTTCAAGAGAGCTGCACAGAACCAGACCAGTAAGACGTACCAGTAAGACGTACCTTAAGAACTTCAAGAGAGCTGCACAGACCAGTACGACGTACCTTAAGAACTTCAAGAGAGCTGCACAGACCAGTAAGACGTACCTTAAGAACTTAAGAACTTCACACCAGAGACGCTGCTTAAGAACTTCAAGAGAGTACAGACCGTACCTTAAGAACTTCAAGAGAGCTGCACAGACCAGTAAGACGTACCTCAAGAACTTCAAGACCTTAAGCTGCACAGACAAGTAAGACGTACCTTAAGAACTTCAAGAGAGCAGACCAGTACGACAGACCAGTACGACGTACCTTAAGAACTTCAAGAGAGCTGCACAGACCAGTAAGACGTACCTTAAGAACTTCGAGAGAGCTGCACAGACAAGTACGACGTACCTTAAGAACTTCAAGAGAGCTGCGCGGCCTATGACACGTACATTGAGGACGTTGAGAGAGCTCCACCGACCAATGAAATGTACTTTAAGGGCTTCGAGAGTGCTGCATAGATCGATGATTAGTACTGACCCATGATACTTACCTTGAGTTCCTAATGAGAGCTGCACAGACCGGTGAGAAGTAATGACCTATATGACGTACCTTAACACACCAGTGAGAAGTAATGACCTATATGACGTACCTTAACACACCAGTGAGAAGTAATGACCTATATGACATACCTTAACACACCAGTGAGAAGTAATGACCTATATGACATACCTTAACACACCAGTGAGAAGTAATGACCTATATGACATACCTTAACACACCAGTGAGAAGTAATGACCTATATGACATACCTTAACACACCAGTGAGAGGTAATGACCTATATGACATACCTTAACACACCTGTGAGAAGTAATGACCTATATGACATACCTTAACACACCAGTGAGAAGTAATGACCTATATGACATACCTTAACACACCAGTGAGAAGTAATGACCTATATGACATACCTTAACACACCAGTGAGAAGTAATGACCTATATGACATACCTTAACACACCAGTGAGAAGTAATGACCTATATGACATACCTTAAGGACTTTGAGAGTGTTGTTCTTTAGCAGTCCGTTGAGCAGAAGGCGGAAGGCACAGATGTTGATCCTGTTGGCTTCGAGGTCCAGTTCCACCAGGGTCTTGTTCTTGACCAGAGCTTTAGACATCTCCTGACTTCCCTCCATTCCAAACCCATTCCAGGACAGAAAGAGCCGGGTTAGGCCTGTATTGGCCTGGAAGGGAACAGAGTGAGTGAGTGAGTATGGTTTTACGCCGCTTTTAGCAATATTCAAGCAAGATCACGGCGAGGGACACCAGAAATGGGTTTCACACATTGTACCCATGTGGGGAATAGAACCCGGATCTACGGCGTAACGAGCGAACGCTATAACCATTAGGCTACCCCACCGCCCAGAAGGGAACAGATTAGTTCAGGACGTTTACGTGTATGCATTAAAATATTGAGACCAAAATACATCTAAAGAAATTCAATTTGTCTGAAAATTGTACAGCGTTTGATTCATGGGAGATAGATGAGACACATTTCGGAATTGTAAAGTATATCTTTTAATAATCAATGATCGTTCAAAGTCTGATCTTGCTGAAGTAAGGTCCATTTTGAAAAAAAGAAGAAAACTTAGCCCATGTCAAATATGAACATGGATGCAAAAAATCGAAGAAAATCAACGTAAATATTTAGCTGTAAATATATAGATTGTCGCAGCAGAAAAGATTATCTAAAACGGCAGTATCGATTTATTTGTCTCTACGTTTAAAAAAATATTATGTAACAGAAAATAATGCAAAACCTGTAACCTAAATATATATAAAATAATAAGAAATGAAAATTGATATACGTACTTCTGATGAAAATATTTAAAAATCAATAAACAACAAACATCGATATTTGTGTTTCTTTGGCAAATATATATCAACGTTGATCTTTAAGACTTTCTGTTTACAGTTCCCTACTGCCACTGCAGGTGCTTTCACGTCGGTATCCTGCTGTCGGTATGAGGTCTACGATATGCTTGTCTTCTTATTGATTTCATACAACTGCACTGTGTAAGTGTGTATTCATATGCTGTCTTCATACAGTGCACATTTCGTTGGGACAGAGAAACTGCTTGACAACAGAATAACACATGCGAACATAACAACCTTCAAACATGATTGATTAACACTAAGGGACAATATCAAAACATTTGACATGATTTTACTTTGTACTGAAAATTTAAATAGTATTTTTATAATATGTCATTCTCAAAATATCCTGATGGCTATATCAACACCAAAAGTTCCTAATTCCTGTTCGTCAAATATTCTCGTAGTCCAGAACTGCTTTGGCTTTACAAACTATACGACTTGGAATCCTAACACGTGCAAAATATGTGATTACTATTATTTATCCCCGTCATACAACAGTTACTGAAAACGTATTTACCTACCTATGTCCATATAAACTATGAATCCCTTTATCGCATGACAATACATTAATTGAAAAGGAGATATTTGATACGGCCCCTAATCACCAAAAACATTTATTTTGTATTGAATCGTGACTGCTGAGTGTGCTATGACTGGCCAGGAATAGTGCAGATCTCGATTAACTAAAAAGTACGTGAATTAAAAACGGAAGCAATGGACTTTTTCAAACTATATGCACAATTAATACCAACAAATGCGTAATGATTTCTGTGTTCTCTGTTGTTTGACGATCTCGTACAATGTTTTGTCAAACAAACTTGTACCGAGGTATCGTGAAGTTTCACACGAACATAAATAATACCTGACTCAATAAGCCGTGGCAATATATAACAGGCCATTACGATGTCTTAAAGTTTTATCGGGAGATCGATACTGCAGACAATGCGAGATTATGTCGATAATACAAAATGGGTTGTTCAAGTTTTCTTCTCGCGCAGGTTATGAAAAGAGCTTACTTTAAATCGCTATACGCTCTGGAAAGCTTTTTGTGAGTCATCCTCATGCGAGATGTGTTTATCAGACATAAAGTTGTTTTATAAAGGTTGTTATTGCATAACAAAGTCGAGATGAAGATGTCTATGCATAGTCGTTATTTGAGACGATGCGCATGCGTACGTATAACCGGAAGTGGTATACATTCGTGTCCAATGTTTAGCTCCTACTTGTTGGTGATTGAACCAACGCAAACCACAGCGAACCAAAGTGAACCTACGCGAACCTGAGCGAACCGAAAGTGGATCCAGAAAGGACTACTAACCTGTAGTCCCTGACATATTGCCACCGCTCCTTTCAAACGGAGATGGTTCCAGCTAAGGTCCAGACTCTTCAAAGAACCATTCACAGCTGAAAGAAGACCATTGAGAGATGATTCCACATCACCTGCAAGTTCCGATACACGCACACGCTTTCTGCTAGCTTTGCTACACAAATGGGCGGTTGGGTAGCCTAGTGGTTAAAGCGTTCGCTCGCCACGCCGAAGACCCGGGTTCGATTCCCACATGGGTACAATGTGTGAAGCCCACCTTGGTGTCCCACGCCGTGATCTTGCTAGAATATTGCTAAAAGCGGCGTAAAACCATACTCACTCACTCACTCACTACTACACTAAAACGTTAAGAATTCCCGATCATTTCATATTTCCTGTTTAACATGAAGAAGACGAAGTGTTTTGTTACAGCCCACATACAGAATAAACCAAACACAGAGTAACTGACACAATGGATGTTACATGCAGTATTTCATAAAATGGATATACAATATTTTCGGGGGCCTAAAATAAATAAACTTTAAACTAATTAACATGCTGATGGTGATGATGATGATTTGAAAATACAACGTGCTCCTTCCGACATAATGCGTATTTCGCCCACGGATGTTAGTTATAATATGTCATACCAAGACATATAACTGTTTTAGCAAAGTTAATTGGGATGGGTTGTTGAAGGCCAGTTTGTAACCTGGGTTAAACAGCTGTGATACAAACACAATACTGCCCTCAGACAATTGGTGTCGTCAGTGGTACCATGGTACTGCCTGGTTGTTTCAATGAGTAAGTGAGTGCGTGAGTGATTTTACGTTTACGTCGCTTTTAGCAAAGTTTCAGTTTCCAGCCCCTACAACCAATAGTGTCCCCAGTGACAACTTGTAAATCGACCCACTCCGTCTTCAGGACGAGTCGTCACCCATAATTCAGTTATATGATTTCGGTAAATAATAACAGTTATGGCGCTGCACCTTGGATACACCAAATACCTGAATTTTTATTACCTTTGAACACTTTGAACAGCGGAACATTACGCAAACAATTATAAGGAGGCCATATATTTTCATGACAACATACAAACACGTTGTCGATGATACAAGCAGCACTTAAGATTGAAAGAGAGTCGTATATTTAAATGTCCTGCCCTATTCATTTCAAAGTTATATAACTGTCACCTGTGAGTGTCCCCCTCAAATATTTTATTAATAGACAAGCAGGTGCCTCTAGGGTTGAAGTACATTTACCGCCTTGGTTCCTGGGGTAAGGATGACACATTTCCATAAATGTTATTGTGAACTTTGGTACATGTACTTAAACTGTGTCTTGAAGTAATGAAGGGTTAAAATTCAACATCACCGGTCGATAAGCAAATACAGAGCGTTATATGATTCCACTTGAGAATTTGAGAAAATATTGAATATGCCAGTTTCTATATTGTTCCACCGTCAATGTCTCAGACGAAGCTGGAATTCCCCCACTCACTCACTCACTCACTCTCACCCTCACTCACTCACTCATGGAATCTGATTTAGCTTGTAATCTAGACTGATATAATAGACAATAAAGTAATCCAGGTTATTATCTGGCTTTGGCCTCTTACATTTACTCGTCTACTCGTCCACACACGTCCACTACAGACATTTACAAAGGCAAACGCAGAGGTAAAAAATCTTAAGATTAATATGAGAAAATTCTAAGATTGCATAGGAAAAATCGTATGATTAATAGAGAGTATTTCAAGACTAAACAGGAAAAAGTTTAATTGTTTTTATCCCCAGATTGAATGTAACAAGGCCTTCCAATTACGCCCATATTTGCGAACTCCTATAAATACAGGCATATCTTGGCACTGTGTTTTATACAAGGTCTCATTAAGACCCAATCATGCGCATGGTGGGACTTGTTCATGTATTTAAGGGCGCCCCATATGATCTGTCTCCACATAAATCATGTCATATCATCCACACAAGAAATAGATTAAACTTTAATTGGCTTTGGCCCAATCCAAATGTCATAATTAGCGATATTCTGCTTTGATTTTGCAACATTCACACAAAAACAAAGCTCATTAACTACGGAGAATGTTTTCAGACATTCCAATAATGAGATATCCGGTTCTTCAATTTTACAAATTTGTTCTTCTTTAAGTAACTTTATTAAGAAATTTCATGGCGATATTAAATGGAATCTCTAACATGTGTCAACATAAATGGAAGCGACAAACATAATTAATCGTAAGGAAATATAATCATACTGAATTAAAAGTTAGGACAATATCACATTTAAACTAAAAAATACACAATGAAACATTAAATGAATTTGAGATTTTAGAATCAAATATTTTCACTGAAGCAACCGTTTTAATGATCGTAGAAGTGTCCTCAGTCACAGTAAGATTAATCAGTGATTTTACTAAAATGTTTATGAATAATTAACATGATATGTGAAATAGAATCACGATTCATTGATCATAATTAGGATTTCAATACACACCACCTAATTTGCCCCGTTTTGCCCCCAGATAGTTGATTAATAGCGACTAATTTAAGGAAAGTGTATTTGCGAACAGAATTTTATACGAGAGTGCTTCTTTACTGATGGACCATGCTAACTGTGAAATTGAATAACCTCTATAAAATAAAGTCATGGGTCTCTGAATAAAGCTATTAATTTCTAACCTTTGGGCTTCTCGGTACATCACGGGTTTTCACACGATCAATGTAAAACGACATTATGGGGAGCACGTGTGATATTTTCTTGACAAACATCCAAAACGATTATTTCTATTCTGGCTTTGATTGTATGCTTGTTACCAAAGGTTCGACCCCGTGTCAGTATACAGGGATCGTTTTCACCTGTCTACGGAGTCGTGGATCTTTACAAAGCAAAGGGATGTCGCGTTTGGACTTCCGGTAATTTTAATTGTAAGTGACAGCCCTCGGGCTGCTGTTAATACATTGTTGAACGGGATATAGTTGTATCAAACTATAATGATGCATTAACTAATGATGCATTAAATACAGTTGTACTAACGTTCTAATGACGTCGTGTTGTCATCAGCGCGTCATTATCTAATAAAGGTCCGAGGGCATCATTAAAAGTGTCATTAAAAGAAAATGGCTACCAACATATTGTTTGAAAGCTTAAGTCGCAAAATGAAAGACCGTGCGCTCAAGACAACCTCAAACTACGCTTTTTGAATCCAAAAGCTACGAAAATGTCCATGCAAGCTTCGTCACGATATGGCTGAGATATTGCCGATGTGACGTTAAATATTAACTCACTCACTCACTCCATGCAAGCTGTCGTATTGGGAAGGCAAATATCCGCTATATCTATATTTGACTGACTGACTGACTGAGTTTAGTTTTACGCCGCTTTTATCAATATTCCAGCAATATCACGGCGGGGGACACCAGAAATGGGCTTAACACATTGTGCCCATGTGGGGAATCGAACCCGGATCTTCGGCGTGACGAGCTAACGCTTTAACCACTAGGCTACCCCACCGCCCCTATATTTGAAACTGCACTGTGACTAGTCATTGTGGGACTAATTTAGTACTATGTGCCCAGTTCATTTGGAACTGACTGGGTTTGCACATGAGAAAAATCATTCTAACATCTGGAAACTGAGAATACAAATGCTGAACAAAACAAAACAAACAATTTTGATAAAATGATTAAACCGAAACATATCAAAACTAGTCACCGGTATTTGACAGACCTAATCAATTTAAAACCTGTCATTCATCTTCCATGATGATGTCATGCATTTCCAATGTGACGTCATTTCCTTTAAAAGTGTTCCTCTTCAGTCAGAGAAGTCGATAAATATGGTATTTACAACGACGTGACACTGAATTAGACGGTACATGTTTGAGTCGATTACTGGCACAGAACGTTTCAGATATGAAACACTCAATACCTCTGCACCTGAATAATTAATATCTAAGGCCTAATTCCAGGTATAGGTATGGTGTACTTACCGATGGCTTTGCCAATGAAAATTCCTCCATTTTCCCGGAAACAGTTGTGGCTGAGGTTAAGTTCCCGAAGTGTCTTGGATTTCTGAAGCAGAAGGGATTCAATGAATGGAATTCGAGTATGTATTGTAAAATTTAAAATTTAAACCCGAATACTGCGAAACCCCGTTAACCCGGATACGCACACAATGTTCCTAACACAAATTGTTCCAGTCAGACCTTAGCATTAAAACCTAACAGCAGCGTATTTGTGATGTAGAAAGAACGTTGCAACGAAGAATGGAAATCTCCATAATTACCCACGGCAGTTTCCATTACTGGCCATGGACAACAGAAACGGCAACTCTCACGTTAACATATTATGAACTCTATTTGATATTGGAGTCCATAAGTGAGTGAGTTGGATTTTATGCTATGTTTTGTAATATTCCAGTCATGTCTCGGCGGGGGACACCATACCCATGTGAAAAATCGAACCCTGGCCTAAGGCGTGACATGTGAACGCTTTAACCACTAGACTAGCCCATCGACCTTATAGAGTATGGGGCATAGTGAAATATTACAGTACTTTGTTTGACATGGCCGCGATATTTCACGTTCTGTTTAATCACAGAACTTCATTCTAAGCATTTGAGAGCTTAGTAAACGTACGCCATGTGTACTGAGTCAAATGGGTTTATGTTCTGATGAAATCAATGCGACAAGCCCCTTTCCAGATTTACCTGAAATATCTGCTGAAAGTAGAGTCCATTATAAATGTCACCTTTATAATGAGCATGTGGTTATGAATCACTATGAAACAAATAGAGACTATACCATGTGATAACTAAGGTTAGGCCCATCTGAGGCATTCGTCATGCAGTGGCAAGTAAATTGTTCACCTAAAACGACGCGGAAACATATGATAAAATTCAAAACAGGGACTGCATCTTTTTTGACACAGATGAACACATTTGGAAATGTCCTAGACACGTGTCCTATAAAACTGTTCATAAACTTATCCGAGGCCTTGAATGCTGTAACCGTGATCACATATATCTTTGGAGAAAGAGTGTCTCTTTTGAAATTGTAAATAATGACATGAAACCAAAGAATCTTATAATACTTTATTGTAATCGATATAATAATACTCTCGTTCACTCGTGATTCAGGACAACTCTTCCAAACTGATCGCATCTGCGTGGAAATTTATCATTCTAAAACTCCATGCTGAATGATACTAATGCCATATCTCACTACAATAAGCATTATTGACCAATCTGCATGTTAGAATACACTATGGTCCAAATACAGTTGCACGTCTGGTCACTATGCATGGCCAGAAGTGACAAGAATGTAATAACGGACTTAATAATACCCTTAGACAAATCTGAAACACTATCGAGTTTATTGTGGTGCTGGTTCACCCTCTGGAAGAGTGACGTTAGGACAGGGATCAGCTAACCTTATCAAATATTGTAATGTTTGCAGACAGTGTACAAGATGGTGTGCCGGACTCAGGGGAGGTCAGCAATACCTGACCGTCCCTGTATATCATCTATGACAATTTAGCCTTCATCCGGTAGGTCTGGAGTTCAGATGGGCTAGAGTCACGCACACATGTCATCAGGCAATGTCCGGTCTGTCGAGCCAAGCATGATCAACTGGTTTGATCGCTTCAGGGCTGTAAAGACATTGATACTTCTCGTGTGGCATTTCTATGGTTGAACATACAATGTTCAATACTAAACACCGCGTGACAGTACTGGCCGTGAACGTTAGATTGTTTCTGAAATGAAGGACTGGCCCAGTACGATCACTCAGCAGCGTTATGATAAGAAATGCTTTTCCTTTAAGACATGGGTGTCTCTTGGGACCAGGCGTGAAGTTCATGCAACTGAGCTGGATATTGGCAGTGGTGTAGGTGTTGGAATGCCTGGTCCTGTGGGAGCGACTAGCGTTTGTCGTGATTCCCCGGAGTCACGGTTCCTGATAGTTAACAATGACTACAAACAGACGCCGACAACGACGGGGGAATGGTAACGTGTTAAGGAACATTGTTCGAGGATAGAAGTTCAGCTTGGGTAATTGATTACATTTAGTGGTAGATTTGTGGTTGACTTGTCACATGGAAATGCCAACATGACTGTATCTTTATCAAACACGGACTGCCTGTTATGAGTGAGTGAGTGAGTTTGGTTAACAGAATTAATACCTCTGCAGAAGATGTAACATCAGGAGGCCGACATAGTCCATATTGACTTCGGCGGTAAAACATGTCACGTGATGTACAATACAACATGTTTCTTTTCACCATTTCAATTCGTATTTTCGAAGAAGTAATAACTTGAATTATGTCATCTTGGTACAGAAGTAAACTGAAGCACTCATACATGCATTTATTTACAATATTGACAATCACAAAACTGTTACATTATAAACCTTCCACGAACAAATCTTTTGAGTGTGTAAGGATATTGTGTTGCGGTGTGTCTAACTACAAGTGTTCAAAAGGATTCGTCTTATGTCTGACTAAATTAACTTCTTGACCCGAGGCTAGGTTTGCCAAGGACCCATAAACAGACGTTCTTCATCTTGTAACCTATCTCCTTAGAGTCATGTCAGTGTGGTTTCTTGTTACAACGTCAACTACAGGGTAATTACACTGGACTCTAGAGGATGGATTGGAAGTATTAAGTACCAAAGGAACATAGTGCCACTACCGCCTCTTTCTGGTTCCTTAAGTATCGCTGACCCTTATTGATTGTGAATGGTCTTCAAGGAGAACACGATGTGCGTGACTTCAGCTTAACAATTACAGGGGCTGAACTGGTGATTCTGTTGTCGTGACGCTTTGATATAGTGTTTCAATTCCATGCTGTTTAACAATCAAGTTTGAGTGAGTGAGTGAGTGAGCTGGGTTTAATGCTGATTTGTATTTCAGTTATTTCACGGCGGCCTCACTTGACGTGCGATGTAAGTCTAAAGTCATTTCAGACGATGACCACTTCATGTATGTATGTATGTATGTATGTATGTATGTATGTATGTATGTATGTATGTATGTATGTATGTATGTATGTATGTATGTATGTATGTATGTATGTATGTATGTATGTATGTATGTATGTATGCATGCATGCATGCAGGCAGTACGAACGTACTTACGTATGTATGTATATAACTTTCAAATACCCATTGACGTCGACGAGCTACATGATATAAAGCTAGAGGACATTTCTAAGGACGTTGTCGGCCTTAATTCCAGAACTCATTTCTTCTCATGATGGTCTTAACCCCAGAGCATGTCGCTTCGTTTACATGCAGGGAACCAATCATGTGATAATCAAGGGAATGTCATACTACATCATGTTCCTACTGGCTCTAACTTGTACTGGCCATAGGGTAGCACTGTGGTTAAAGCGTTCGCTCGTCATGCCGAGGCTTGAGTTCGATTCCCCAGTTGGGTACAATGTGTGATTCAGATACAGTACATCAATATATCCACATACAGTGGAATTGTTTGAACATACAGTGAATTACGTTCATAACGGACAATTGCTGTATATTTTAGTGTAAATACATTTAACGGACAGTTGTTATAACGAACTAAAATGAGTGGTCCCTTTTAGGTCGTTATAATCATAGTTTACTTTACGTTATGACAAAATTGCATCGTTCACGATAACATACATCACAGGAAAGAATGGACAGGAGAAAGAACGGTAAAGTATTAAAAGGGGCTATTGTCAGAAAAATTTAATGTCAATTCTTGGACATTTACGATAGATTCTTTGAAAAAGGACAAAATGCGTTTAGCACGGAGATGGACATATTGCTGTATTAAACCAGTCGTTGATGACAAAAACATTACCATCAATATTGGACAAGGTTGTGATTGTAACATCTGCCCCAGTTTTATTACCTCAGCTGCACATTAATTATTAAATGTGTTGTGTCCGTGTGTAACGTCAGTTACTGACATCGTGGGCGTCATCACGCTATTTGGATAGTAATTTGTACATTGTTTAAGGTACGTCACATACAGTAATTTACCAGCGATATGACGGTGGTCTGTAAAATATTACTATAAGGACCGGGACCAGTTACTGACATCGTGGGCATCGATCTAGGCTATTTGGATACGAAGACACGGATGAACCATCAACCAGAGAGCCTGACCACCCGGTCCCGTTAGTTGCCTCTTACGGCAAGTGTGGGCTGCTTAAGTCCTGGGTTCCTGGGTATTGAATTCCAGATATAACTCAAAATGGGATGATCGTGTCAGTTTTTGTGTTTGTTTTGTTTGTTTATTTTTTAACGCCGCACTCAGCAATATTCCAGCTGTATGGTGGCTGTCTGTAAATAATAAGTCTGGACCAGACAATCCAGTGATCAGCAATATGAGTATCGATGAATTGGCATACGATGACATGTGTCAAACAAGTCAGCTAGCCTGACCACCTAATCCCGTTAGTCGCCTCTTACAAGCATGGGTTACTGAAGACTAACACAGATCTTCATGGGTTCGTGTCAGTGCATATGGTTGGCATAACATTAATCATTATTTTAATCTAGAGATCAAATTCTATTTTGTTAAATTATTCCATAACATGCGCCTAACAACAGTTGCCATGTACTTCAATCAATAGGAAAACAACTTCTATGATCAGTGGTATACATTATAAAATATTTCTGAAAAGGACTGAAATACCATAATTACGACAAAAGGTTCCATAATAACTCTGACCGTTTGATATCGTGAGAACGGAAACCACTGATATCAATTTATACAACATAATGCGCTTCTCAGGTGTTTTCAGGTATTTCAATTAACAGGAAGACTAGTTCCATGGCCAGTAGTATAAACTGTAACATATCTAAACCGAGGACTGAAATACTATTATCACTACAACACATTCTGTAATTACTGACACTGTGTCATACAGGGAGATAGGAAATCGCTGATATCATATTCAAAATGGGCGACGTATCATTTAAAGGAAGACGGATATTATCATATTTAGCTGAACAGGACAAATAATTACCTTTGTTACATTCTGTAACTACCAACATATTATATTTCCAATACGTATGTTTTGCCCGGCATGGGGATCACACAAGAAGGCAACCAGAGAGGCGGTCACGTATTTCCTGGCAAAGTCAATTCTAACGGTCTGTGGGAGCGAGGGAACCAAACAGCGTCAGGACAATTATCTTCCTGAGATTCTTCACACAATAATTGCACAAGTCTTGATTTACTGTGTGACATTTTGCAAGTCGTGTTGACATACACCGTGGCAGTTAGACTCTCTAGATCGATAGGTGTCGGACTGAGAGAAAACTCGTGTCAAATCGGTAAACCTCCTGCGTAACGCTGACAACGTCGAGAGACGTTACAGGCACACCGGGATTGTTGTTTTGAAACAACGTTGACGTCATAGGTTACAAGGGTCGGTTAAAACAAGGTGGTGTACACTATCGGTTAAAAGAAAGTGGTATTTAATCCATAAACTGTAAGTAGTACGTACTTCATGTCGTTTATGGCGACGTCGGATTCGATAAGGTTGAATATAGACATAATACGAGAATCATAGTTGGGTGTTGGAGCTACGTTCTTAGTGTCCCGCGACTGATACAGCATGATAAAGTTTCGATAATGTTGGTTTGTTTTTTTTTCAAATTCGACATTTAAGTGTTAACTTTCTGTCCCAGACGTTATATACCACGCATGCAAATATTCGCGGGTCGTTGGATATAGGAAGTGATATGAAGTTTACTATTACGGCGGTGTGAGTGGCCAACTGTAGCGGCAACATCCAAAGAACGACACTGTTTGACCTAATGAGGATTCCTACCCTTGCCGGGGCTGTGGGGTAGCCTAATGGTTAAAGCGTTGGCTCGTCACGCCGAAGACCCGGGTTCGAATCCCCACATGGGTACAATGTGTGAAGCCCATTTCTGGTGTCCCCCGCCGTGATGTTGCTGGAATATTGCTAAAAGCGGCGTAAAACCAAACTCAGTCAGTCAGTCAGTCCTACCCTTGCCGCGTTGCCGTGGGCCTTATTACCACGAGCTCAAGAAATACTAAACTAAAGAGTTATTTCATAATGTAATGTAAACAGTGCCCATCTTTTGGTTTGGTCTGCATAACAAACGAAATTGTTACATAATTCATACTGGTAATAAATACAATACTACACATAAAACTTTGAAGCTCCGCTCCGTTAGATGCCATAGAAAGTCGTTTCGTTTCGTTAAAATGGTATCCCGCGGAATGAGGGCGGTATTATTTCATTACTTGAGTGATATGGCAGTTATGTTATTGGCTCTGGGGTTCATTCCATGAAGCCATCACAGGGCTAGGACTGTCGTAAGTTTGTGTTAAAGTATGGGAGTTACGATCACATTAGCGCTGCTGTGGCTGGAGGAAGAGGACGGTTACTTGGTGAACCTAAACCCGAGTACAGCGTTGATCATATCGCAGATTCGAACATGCGAATCGTGATAAATACATTTGCCGTTACCTCAGTCCACCCTGCCATGAGTGATCCATCGTATAGCCAATCAGCAATAACTAAATTAATAACAGATTGATTTTGAAAACGCTCCGCAATGACGTACATTGTCACCATGGCAACGGTCAGGCCTGGTTAGCTCTACGGAAACGGGGCGGGAGAAATTCGCCGTTGAGAGTTGCGCCCCTTAGAATTTTAGAACTATGATCGCAGATTCGTATCCTATATTCACCGGATTGTGGTTTCAGTTATCATCACCAGATAAGGGGAAGACTAACATCACTCGGATATTTTTTCTCACGTCAGGCTAACATGCTCTGATGTAGCCACTATGTCGCTGAAATGAGCTTTTTTTGCCTAAGTGTCAGATAAGTGGCAAGTACGGGAGATATTGTCGTGCACAGACAAAAAACGTACCTTCATCACCAAGCATAAAACGGCATCTTTTTCAAACTCCTAGTTTTCATAATTTTTTCACCTCACGTTTTACAAGATCAAACGTGGAGAAATTACAACAATACAAAATGAAAATGAGATTGTAAGGAGTAATTTTATTTTATTTTTTTCCTTTTGTGATGTTCGCGCCAAGGGTAAGCAAGCCTATGTTATTACACAGTTAAGCCATAAACAGTGAAAATATCATTAGTTCCCATGGTTACGAAAGAGGTTCCCTTTCATGTCCCACAACGCTGTAACCAAGGAGAAGTGATATGATAAACATCTCGTAACGGGATCATTAACGGTTAATGCTAAGTATCAAAGCAAATTAGAAACCCAATATACCCACAGGCTGTATCGGCCGTTATGGTGTTGTATTCCTGGATTGGAAATTTGAACATACTATAGATAACCGAAGAAGAACTCGACTACTTTCATCTCCACGTATAACGTCAAGTTATTACAGATATCCTATTCAAAGCTGCGCTGAACTAATGTCACTTACTTCCCACGTTCAACAAAGACTTCTCTCCACATGGCAAGATACAAATATATTGGATCGCTGTTGTCGAATTGGGCTGTAACACTAAGTTCATATATATTACCTAAGTAGAGAATTGCATTCAGTTTCGATTTGAACCGTTTTTCGCTATTGTCTACCATGTGAGACTCGTCCACCATTTTGCAGCAGATTTTATTTCCATTCTATTACGAGAAAAATATATTTTTATCAAAATATAATGAATGTATGATTCTATTTATAAGTATAGAAGAGGATTTTATACTCCACATAACTGAGGACACAGCTGGATGAGGGAGAAAAATGACCGAGGGACCAAACGCTGGCTTGTCTTGGGCTGACCTTGACCTCTAGCGTTGTGCTGACAGACTTAGGATCAGAAATGGCGCGATTTCTACACAAGGAGGAGATACTTTTGATTATATATTTGCAACAATGTTTCTTTCTTATAAATCAACACTTTTAATATGATATACCAATGAATATCTTGGTTAGAGCATGTGATTAACGTGATCGGGCGGTCAGGCTAAGTCGGGGGAAAGCTGAGATTCGAACCAACCAGCGTAGTTTTCTGACACGCGTAAGCGACACAAATCAACACAATGAAACGATTCGACTTTAAGCTACACAATACGACACAAAGAAATGCGTCGACTGATGCTTTGTAGACATTAACTATGCAAGGTCACATCAATGTAAGTAATTCCTTAAGGCCGAGCTAAGTAATTCCTTAGGCCGAGCTATTGATGGAGTCCATGCAGAATTACGTTTAGAGTGACCATTATCTGACCATTAACAATAATACTGCTCATTAATCTGAAGGATGAAGGTCTGCAAAGATCTATACTTATTTTGTGTATTTTGTCAAGAAAAGAAAGGAGGCAAAGCGGAGCAATTATATATTCTCCGTCCGCAGGAGCCCAAAGGCAATAGAATTACACGAGGCGGGGCGGACAGGGGTTAATACTATTAATATATTACGGCCTAACCAATGTATGACACAAGGGCATGCATAACACAGCTTTTTACAACAGCCATGTTTCCTCAAATCGGTGATTTTAAAATTCTCTAATTATTAGTTCAGACAAAATATTATGGACGTCGACTTCTTGTGTATTCTATACGCAACGTTTCTGGGCTTTTCCTTGCCCCTTCGTTGTGTATAGAATAAACAAGAAGTTGACATCCATAATATTTTGCCTTACTTGAATAACAACTTCTATATGCCTTTCAAGAACCTAATTATTAATTCGTTTCACATATTGACCTAAGCGTACCATTTTAGAACCAACCAAGGGTAAGTAACTCTAAGCACATTCATGCATGATTTGCAGGACGTTTTCCATACTTACAAACAATCTCTAATGTAGATACACAAAACCCATTGCGGTCACATCGATTTCCGGAAATGGGGAGAAACAAAACACGTTTTCTGCCTTATTGTCAATCATTATCATAACTGATGTGCGAAGAAGCATAATATTTCTTTGATCTCGTATCTTGTGCAGCCATGTGTAATATAGATAATTGAGTTAGCTATGTATAGACAATCAGCGTTTGATCAATGGGGTATGTGGGGGAAACATCCTGTCTCACCTGAACCATCTCACTGATGAAGTACGCATCATTCTCTTGGAAATCGTTACCTGTAAAGACAAGATACTATTTGTTACAACCTGTAGGCATTTGTACTTCATTACAAAAGTTGATGATTGGAGGGCAAATCAGATTATAGGATTTGTGGATTGATAGCAAAAACATTTTGTTCATCCGATCGAACAGTGCTTGGTGGCACTAATTGTTACAGTACTTTACACGTTACACGCTAATCATCCTTGGTGTAAATGTTTCCATGGGTTTAATATTAATGTCTAACTTCGCCAACACATCATGTCTAGTTGTGATAACATACGAATCCATAAAGGTTTGGTTTGGTTTTCCGTACACTCTACAATATTCTACATGGCGGTCTGTAAATAATCGAGTCTGGACCAGATAACCCAGTGATCAACAGCATGAGTATCGATCTAAGCAGTTGTGATACGATGACATGTGGCAACCAAGTCAGCGAGCCTGATCCTCGATCCCGTTAGTGGCCAGTTACGACAAGCATGGGTTGCTGAAGACCAGTTCTAACCCGGATCTTGACGGGTGAATCCATTATAGGAATATATGCTGAACAGTTGGACAAGAGAAGTGTGCACTTGAAAACTGTGACCCCCAAATTATAAAGGAACAGTCCCGAAACACTGCAAACACTCCCAAACATAAATATGGTAACCGAATCATTATGATTCATGTAAATCACCCTTGAATACCCCTGTATTATTTGTTATTTTTTAACAAACTTCTTTCTTTGGTCTTTTACTTTGTTTCTGTTTGCTTCTCTAGTATAAACCAATCTGGTGGAAAGCTTGGTCGATGCATATCATTGTTTCCAATTTGTGTTTATAGATGCTCATAGTGCCAATCACTGGACTGTCTGATCAAGATTCGATTATTGGCAAACTGCCGTCACACTGGTGGAATGTTACTGAGAGCAACGTTAGACGTTAGTCTTTGTCTCTCTGTGACATGTGCCTGTGGACGTAACTCATTGTCATCATATGAACGTTAGTCTTTGTCTCTCTGTGACATGTGTCTGTGGACGTAACTCATTGTCATTATATGAACGTTAGTCTTTGTCTCTCTGTGACATGTGTCTGTGGACGTAACTCATTGTCATTATATGAACGTTGTCTTTGAACGTTAGTCTCTCTGTGACATGTGCCTGTGGACGTAACTCATTGTCATTATATCATTGTCTGTGGACGTAACTCATTGTCATTATATGAACGTTAGTCTTTGTCTCTCTGTGACATGTGTCTGTGGACGTAACTCATTGTCATTATATGAACGTTAGTCTTTGTCTCTCTGTGACATGTGTCTGTGGACGTAACTCATTGTCATCATATGAACGTTAGTCTTTGTCTCTCTGTGACATGTGTCTGTGGACGTAACTCATTGTCATTATATGAACGTTATATGGACGAACTCGTATGAACGTTAGTCTTTGTCTCTCTGTCATGTGCCTGTGGACGTAACTCATTGTCTCTGTCTCTCTGTGTCTGTGGACGTAACTCATTGTCATTATATGAACGTTAGTCTTTGTCTCTCTGTGACATGTGTCTGTGGACGTAACTCATTGTCATTATATGTGTCTGTGAACGTTAGTCTTTGTCTCTGTGACATGTGTCTGTGGACGTAACTCATTGTCATCATATGAACGTTAGTCTTTGTCTCTCTGTGACATGTGTCTGTGGACGTAACTCATTGTCATCATATGAACGTTAGTCTTTGTCTCTCTGTGACATGTGCCTGTGGACGTAACTCATTGTCATCATATGAACGTTGTCATCTGTGATATGACGTAACTCATTGTCATTATATGAACGTTAGTCTTTGTCTCTCTGTGACATGTGTCTGTGGACGTAACTCATTGTCATCATATGAACGTTAGTCTTTGTCTCTCTGTGACATGTGTCTGTGGACGTAACTCATTGTCATTATATGAACGTTAGTCTTTGTCTCTCTGTGACATGTGTCTGTGGACGTAACTCATTGTCATTATATGAACGTTAGTCTTTGTCTCTCTGTGACATGTGCCTGTGGACGTAACTCATTGTCATTATATGAACGTTAGTCTTTCATTCTCTCTGTGACATGTGTCTGTGGACGTAACTCATTGTCATTATATGAACAGTCTTGTCTCTCTTGACATGTGTCTGTGGACGTTACGTCTTTGTCTGTCTCTCTGTCACATATGTCTGTGGACGTGGACTCATTGTCCTCTGTGGACGTTCTGTCTCTGTGACATGTTAGTAACTCATTGTCCTTCTTTGACGTTCTCTCTGTGACATGTGTCTGTGGACGTAACTCATTGTCATTCTGTGGACGTTAGTCTTTGTCTATGGTCTGTGGAGTCATTGATTATAAACGTTAGTCTCTTCATGTGTGATGTCATTTTGTGGACGTTGTCTGTGGACGTGACTCATTGTCATTCTGTGGACGTTAGTCTTTGTCTATGGAAGTCAGACATTATCTTTCTGTGATGTGTCTGTGGATGTTAATCATTCATTCTCTCTCTGTCTTTCTGTGATGTGTCTGTGGATGTTAATCATTGTCTCTCTGTCAAGCATAAGCGTGCGCTTGGACGTTAAGCTTTTGTTTTCAGCTGATAACGGGGAGGTTCTGCTGTACTTGTCATTGCAGAGTGCGTGTTGTGCCCCAGACAGTAACTACCATCTACCGATGTCGGCGTATTATCTGCACGTCTTCAAGTCCACTTACCCGATATGTTGAGCTTAACAATGGACGTGTTTCGGACAAGAGAGTTGGCGATAATTTCTGCGCCACCGTCTCTTAAGGCAGTGAACGATAGATTCTGAAAAATGCAAAACAATACTTTTGTAAATATGAAATATTTTACCTAAGAGAACAAATATGCCTGTCTATTATGAAATTGAAAATGCTGCCACTTAAGCAGACTGAAAGTGTTGAGATGAATTTTTTTTTATTTGAAACAGTTTACTCAAACCGGGATTCAAACCTACAATCATCACCGAAGGCACTGTCTGCTGGACTAGACCAGATGAAGATGCTTCGGATTAGAACATTGTCAATAAAATTGTATACGGTGGATGTCCACTATACCAAACACATTCTTACCCGATTAAATCCTCATATTGAAGAATAGATAAATAATTAAATAACTTCTTTGGATCACTGTATCAAATTCCGCGAAGAAATATCCCCCGCTCTCAAATTATTGTTTCATGTGGTTTCATGTACCTACCAGGTCTATAATAGATCTGTTCTCTTGCAACATTTCAACAACATACTTCAGCCCAGCGATTCCAATCTCGTTGCCATGGAGATCAAGCGTATGGACGGTGTTATTTTGCTGAAAACAATACGATAAAATGTATTGTTAATGAAATTAGATTATGACTTGTCGAAGTTCACTGTCATTTCTTAGATAATCTGAAACATTATATACATAGATTTCAGGTACATGATTGAATTGATGCTGGATGGTGAGTTTGGACAATAGGGGTTGTATACAAGATTCTACTAATGTGTTTTGGTTTTATTGGTCTGAATCAGTTATAACAGATCAGATTGCAAGATCCACTCCTCTAACAACCAGTCGGTAATGCCCAGACCTCTTCAACCTTAATGCACCGACGAAAACATGAACTTCAATAAATATCGCATTAAGATATTTGCTTAAAACGTTTTAAACAATTAACATGAATTGGAATGAGTAATTCACAGTGATATGACCACTTCCATGACCAAATAAACCAGTGATTGATATTATGAACGTCGTTCTGATTAATTTATATATTCTTTTCAGTGATAAGAGCTTATCATGTCTAGGCCAGACAAACCGGTAATTGATATTATGAACAGAGTTCTATGGGTACGATGGCAAGTAGTCAAGCTCCTCACTAAGCAAAATTCCCCGCCCCATTAAGTAGCATTATCAGTTTAAGCTTGTTGGGCATTAGAGTGTCTACCCCGATCCAAACACGATTATTCCACATCAGAACCCAGATCCCCGTTCCACAAAACGAACTTAGCAAAACGATCGTAAGCCAATATGAAAGTAAGGGAGTTACGATCACCTTAACGTTAAGATCGATTTGTGGAACGAGGCCCATGTCGTTTAAGGGAAGCACTCGGGAAACTATAGAAAGGATCGGCCATCTTGTATTATAGTTATTGTGCCACGGTACAGTAGCTCACCTTTTATCTGTAGTCTGTAGTATCAAATATATAAAAAAGCCACTTGGCAATTCGATAATGACATCACTGATATTCCATGAACATTCTGTATAAAGGCTGACAGTTTAAACTGACACAAAATTCTGCAGATCAGAGAAAATACGGCGTCGTTACAAGAAGAAGCATGCGTCTTGAGCTTACGACGACGACGCTATATGCCCATCGAGCTTCCATATGTTTGGGTGACACTCCCACAAATGATTGGCCCCTAGTCAGCTTTGTTTGTGATCCATAAACGTACATGCGGTTTACAGCATTGAAGACGACTGATGTTTGTCAGTCGCCAAGGGGGTGATATCATTTCCCGATCCCTTTATAACGCCTAGAGCTACAATGTTGAACCATGTTCTATTGATGACGTATATCCCTATCGTGGTACTAGTGTGTCATACAGACCCTGAAGCAAATATATCCCACGCAAGTCTAAAAAAGTAAAATATGTTCATTTCAGAGACTAGTTGTTAGTCTATCGTGGTACCACCACTATATGATGATTCATGCTCATGATAAAGTCGGAATCGTAAATCTTTGTTAACTAAAGATTGTTGACCGAATCAATAACGTTAATGTTTAGAGTCTCAATGCTTCACATATTGCACCAAATTTAGAATCGAATTCGGTTCCCTCGTCATGTCCGTCCAACCACTTGACCACACCACTGACCTCAAGGAACCAAACATATTTTGTATGTCAAAAATGCAGATGAAAAGAAATTGGCTTCATGTTGTAAAAGTTATAATTAAACAATGGAAAGCTGCCGGTATAGCCGATGATATACTAAACCTAAATCAGTTCAATGGAATATCCAGTGCAGAGAATCGTGTAATATCCATCCTGCGTCGGCCATCGTGGATGGGCTATTAAAATAGGGCAGGTAACTCCACGAGCAGTCCGCATGTCCGACATGATATCAGATGGAGACTTGTCTCATCCCCAGTTAGCCATGACTCATTATGAGTTCATTATCCACAATCGATTTGCTGTTGAAGGTCGAGGAACAGCTGTATAATTTGAAATTAAATATGTCCTTCATTGTTATTTGCATAAGTAGAGCATTGATCGAATATAATTTTTCCATTCCACGAATGAGCGTTCTGTCCCTTTGCAAATTAAATTGTTATCTAAATGTGTCACAGGCAATACGGATAGACAAAACACGTGCAAAATCAAACAAAGGGGACAAATCATAGTTTAGTAAACACTGAGGAAAAGTGAGTGAATATGAGTAAACCTTTACAAATATTCTAAGCGTTCAAAGTAAGGGTTTTGCACCACACCACATCATGAGGAAGACATTTGCACGATGACATTAATACATAGCCACTGCACGTCACAGACATGACTTCCACGGCACAAACATGAAAAACACAGTCATGACGACAAGTGATTGTACACATACATAACACCATGACGACGTCCTCAAAAAAACACCTGACATGGAAGCATTCAATTTGGTATGTATACTTAGACTCAACGAAAGACGACGTGACACATAACAAAGGCACAACGACAAACACCATGACGACAACAGGTACACAACATAACACCATGACGACATGATTGTACACAGACACAAAGGCACGACACATGAGACAGATGACAAAGACAATGACATGACGACACAGTCACAAAGGCAAACACATGAGACAGACACAGACACAAAGACAATGACATGACGGCACAGACACAAAGGCAAACACATGAGACAGACACAGACACAAAGACAATGACATGACGACACAGTCACAAAGGCAAACATGACATGACAGACACAAAAAGACACACACAAAGACACAAAGAAAATGACATGACGAGACAGTCACAAAGGCAAACACATGACACAGACACAAAGACAATGACATGACGACAAAGTCACAAAGGAAAACACATGACATAGACACAAAGACAATGACACGACGACACAGTCACAAAGGCAAACACATGACACAGACACAAAGACAATGACATGACGACACAGTCACAAAGGCAAACACATGACACAGACACAAAGACAATGACATGACGACACAGTCACAAAGGCAAACACATGAGACAGACACAAAGATAATGACATGACGACACAGTCACAAAGGCAAACACATGACACAGACACAAAGACAATGACATGACGACACAGTCACAAAGGCAAACACATGACACAGACACAAAGAAAATGACATGACGATACAGTCACAAAGGCAAACACATGACACAGACACAAAGACAATGACATGACGACAAAGTCACAAAGGCAAACACATGACATAGACACAAAGACAATGACATGACGACACAGTCACAAAGGCAAACACATGACACAGACACAAAGACAATGACATGACGACACAGTCACAAAGGCAAACACATGACACAGACACAAAGACAATGATATGACGACACAGTCACAAAGGCAAACACATGACACAGACACAAAGACAATGACATGACGACACAGTCACAAAGGCAAACACATGACATAGACACAGAGACAATGACACGACGACACAGACACAAAGGCAAAGACATGACACATGAGACAATGACATGACGACACAAACGTCAAAGACAAACAGATGACACAGACACAAAGACAATGATATGACGACACAGTCACAAAGGCAAACATATGACATAGACACAAAGACAATGACATGACGACACAGTCACAACGACAAACACATGACACCGGCACAAAGACAATGACATGACGACACAGACACAAAGGCAAACACATGACACAGACACAAAGACAATGATATGACGACACAGTCACAACGACAAACACATGACACAGACACAAAGACAATGACATGACGACACAGTCACAAAGGCAAACACATGAAACATAGACACAAAGACAATGATATGACGACACAGTCACAAAGGCAAACACATGACACAGACACAAAGACAATGACACGACGACACAGACACAAAGGCAAACACATGACACAGACACAAAGACAATGATATGACGACACAGACATAACGACAAACACATGACACAGACACAATGACATAACGACACAGTCACAAAGGCAAACACATGACACAGACACAAAGACAATGATATGACGACACAGACACAACGACAAATATATGTCAAAACAGGCATGACAGCACACATACCATCACAGAAATACGCAAAGGCTGCTTTTAAACATCACTTTGAATTAAATGTGTGTGTATCTATATATAATGTTTGTTCACATCGCTCTATGGCTGAAACAACACCGATGCCATGTTACATTTGCACTCGCTCACACTCCTGAGTCAGTCATAAAACTTACATGCGCAGTACATGACAATCCAAAGTGATCTATATCAAGCGTTGAATCATAGTCCAAAGATAAAATTAGCACGAAAGTCATTTGTGTCTTAATTAGCTATTTCCCCTGTAGCAAATTACGTGATTGAAAAGCACTTCAAAGACACAGTCGCAATGCATGCTGGGTATGTAAGTAGTTCCGGGCTGAAGATGCAAGGGTTACGCAGCCGATATCATCGGGCCGCCGATGAAGAGCAATGCAAAAAGAGCGAATTAATAATTACAGACCCTGTGCAGAGAAACTAGTCGACACACTAGCCATCCTGTCCCCTCGTTGACTTGGTAATTCATCCAAGCTGATCTCTCCTCACAGTTAATCTATTTCATTGTAATCTTTGGAAATATCTTAACCAGATTAAACTGGTCTTCGTGGCCCATCTCAACTAATGGTTGTGGTTTTACAGCGTACACGACTGATATTAGAGGGTATTCAAAGTAGCAGATATTCCACTTTGATGTAATAATGTAAAACAAATATGAGAATTGTCATGAAAAGAAAGCAAGTGAGTATGATTTTACAGCCATCACAATCGAACACGGACCTTCGGCGTCATAGTGGATATTCCACGTATAATACTGGAAACGATAATATTATTCTTATGATCTGCAACCAGTGGCACAGGGTACGGTACCCGTTTCACCAACACAGGCTTATTTGTTTGTTTGTTGTTTCAGTATTCCAGTTATATGACCACCGTGTGTCAGTAAACAATCGAGATTGGACGAGACAAACTAATGAACGATATCATGAGCATCTGTGTACACAATGGATATACGATAACATG